TGATGTTATTCCATTTTAAAATGTGTATTTTTGGTTTGAAAGTATTATAGATTATAAATTAATTTTACTTGATCTAAAATTAAAAATGGCTCCCCATGAAAAAAAAACAACTAAAATAACTTGTTTCTAAATTAATATCCATTTTGCAATTTTAGGTCAATATGTATTTATTATTCAGCAAATATTACATATTTTTTACTTATTTAAAATGAAAATGAACAGTTTTAATCAAATCAGAATTAGAACAGAATAAAAACGGAGAAATTTAGCTGTTGAAATTTGATTATTTGAAATTACATTTGGCAGTTTTATGACTAATATCTTAATTTTTAAATAACATTTAAAAGGACCAGTTCTACAGGTGCACTGGCCCTGTATTGGCCCCCTTGTCTAGAATGGTCCATGCTTTGTGGTTCTGCTAAAAGGAGTAAATTGGGAATCAGAAATAGATCAGATCAGTTCTCCAGATTTTGGACTATTTTTCAGATGCTTTTGTCGGCTAAGCCAATTAAACTCTAGCCGTGATATAGAAATAAAAAGAAAGGAGAGGTGCCTGGCTGCTGATCTGCACTGTGAGGTATCCTGCACTGTTAGAACCGGAAGTTTATTCATAAAGACTTTCAAAGTAAAAGCTAGCTTCCTTTCACAAACAAGTGTTGTTAAGCTGGAAACTAGTGTACACGCACAATTTTACTCCCCACCAAACTCCTATCTGGAGTAATAGATATGTGCTACATAGAAATAAGTCTCTGTATTTGGATCGCTGGATGGGAAAGGGCATTTGGTCTATAAAACATTTTCTAAACCACAATAGAGGTTGGCTGACCTATGAGGATTTTTGCTTACTGTATAATTTAAACTGCTCCTATGCTCAGTTTAACACTGTCATAAACTCTAATATGAGAGCAAACACGTGCTGCGTGCTATTCTTGAAGGCTTTGAATACAACTTCTGGAATAACCTTCCGGTACTGACAGTACAGGATACCCCATTTTGCTGGTCTGCAACGAAAGGTGCTGACAGTGCAGGTCTGCAGCCAGACTCTCTTTAAACATTTTATCTACCTGAAAGTGTGATAATGTAAGATTCTGGAGTGCTGCATTCCTGCATGTTTCCTATTCAGTACACCCTCCGCTGTGACCTGAAGCGCCCCCTGCTGGCCAAAGACCTGAGCAGGAACTGTGAGTTCATCGTTCACTGTCAGGTAGGTCAGCACATCATCTGCTGCTTCTGTTCATTTAAACATTGATTTACCTTTACTTTTCTTATCAGCCACAGAAGGCCAAAGTTGTCCCAACCCCGGTCAAGTTCACCATCACCCCCGACACTTTGCAGAACATCCGCGAGGTGAGGGCATCCTCCACCCCCCACAGTCCTTAGAAATGTGGAAATATTTACGTTGGATGAAAACTGCTGCAAATCACAAGTGGATTTTTATTTATTTTTTCTCCTTAGAGGAGTCTGCTGCCAAAGTTTCTGATCAGAGGACATTTAGACGCCACCAGCTGTGTGATCAGCCAGCCCCTGACTGGAGAGGTGGTGGTGGAGAAGTCAGAGGTCCCCGTCAAGAGCATCGAACTGCAGCTAGTTCGAGTGGAAACCTGCGGTGAGTGTCCTTCCCTTCGTAGCCGCTCTGATCCCAGTAGCCCAGCTGCAGGTTAACAGTTTGTGCGTTCAGGCTGTGCTGAGGGATACGCCCGAGACGCCACCGAGATCCAAAACATCCAGATAGCAGAAGGAGACGTTTGTCATGGCCTCCCGATCCCCATCTACATGGTCTTCCCCAGACTGTTCACCTGCCCCACCCTGGAGACCACCAACTTCAAAGTTGGTGAGTGAAACCTGTCAGAGGACTCGGCCCTCTTTGATAGTACGAGTCATAAGCTCTGATGGAAAAAATAACCTGATGCGTTTCTTCCCCCCTCAGAATTTGAAATCAACATCGTCATTGTCCTTCATGATGATCACCTGATCACAGAGAACTTCCCTCTGAAGCTCTGCAGAGTCTGAACCCCTCTGCAGCTTCCGGTGACGACGTTTGGATCCTCAGAGGATCAAATCAGCTCCTGGGAGGAATGAAGTCAATCCTCCAAAAACTGGAAGGCATCGGTGGAATGATAGAATGTATTTAATGATCAGTTCTAATCTGACTGAATTCCTGTATGTAAAATTATTAAGATAAAGTAATGTAAACCAGAAACAGAGCCAGAGCTGTACACTGTATAAAGTGATTCCCAATATTAACATGGATATATTTCTACACGAAATGAATCTCATGTCATTACATGTTTTTCCTTAATTTTGTGCAGCAGTTCTATTAAGAATCTGATCCTGCAGGTTTATGGATCATCTTGAATGATGCTGGTTCTGATTCTAAAAGCAGAATCAGCCTCTTGGATTCAAAGGAGTTTGGAAGGTTACCATTTGTGGGAATTTTTTTGTAACTTTCAATTAAATTAAATCCAAACTAGTTTGAGGTTTTTTTTTTTTTTTTTTTTATTTTGTTCCTCCATTCAAATACCAAAATATGTTGGTCCAGAGCCACATTTTTACACACATACATCTGAAAATCCTTAGATTCAAACAAATAGGCATGTTTTAGAGGACCATGGGACATGGGGATGGTGTCTCTGTGTTTAACCTGAAGAGGATGCCAAAAACCTTCCAGAAACAAAAGCAGGATTTCAACAAACATGCAGTAAATTGTCAAAATAGGTACATATACAGCACAACGGAGTATTAGGCCCAGGCTAGAGAATTATTTTTAAAATTATGAGAATTAAGTCAGAAAATTATAATAAAGTGAAATTACGAGATTAAAGTTAAGAGAATAGTCAAAATTATGAGACTAAAGTTAATGAGAATAAAGTCAAAATTTCCGCTTTTGCCAACATTGGATACCTAAATCCAGCGTTTGGTAGGTGAAAGGCTTCCCTGCTGTCAGTCTCCCTGTTCTCCAGAGCATTTAACAGGTTTGAGAATCTTTGGTTACGTTTGGGTGAAACTGATCCCTTTCTGATGGCTGATCTGGTTAAATGCTGTAAACACTATAAAGCTCCAGCTCACGCTATAGAGCAGGAATGGCCGACTCCAGTCCTTGAAGACCAGAGTCCAGACTGCTGATACCAGAGAGGCCAACCTCGGGCGATTCGTAATCCTAAAGATTTTCAGAGGTCAAAAATATTTAAGCCATTTGTGGAAGAGCCTAATGGTTACAAAAGGTTTAAACTGGCATCGTTGAATATATCCATCCATCATCTAACACGCTTGTCCCGAGTGGGCTCACGCCAATCTCCAGCAGTCAATGGGCGAGAGACACCCTGGACAGGTTCACACACACGCTCACACCTAAGGAGAATTTAGACAAGTCAATTAACCTAACAGTCATGTTTTTGGACTGTGGGAGGAAGCCAGAATACCCGGAGAGAACCCACGCATGCTCAGAGAGAACATGCAAACTCCATGCAGAAAGAGCCCAGACCGGGAATCGAACCTTCTTGCTGCAAGCCAACAGTGCTACCCACTGCACCACTCATCAGCCATTGATTGGGTTTACACCTGTACATTAAGGTGGAAAAAAGTGTTAACAGCTTCATAAATTAGGATGCACAAAGAAAAATCTAATTATAGTTGCATTAACAAAGAAAATAGAAAGTAAAATATACATTAACACTCAGTATAGTCTCTGGCCACTTTATTAGATACACCTGTTCAACTGCTTAACACAATTTTCTAATCAGCCAATCACATGGCAGCAATTCTATGCATTTAGACATGGTGAAGACGATCTGCTGCAGTTCAAACCGAAGGTCAGAATGCAGAAGAAATGTGATTTAAGTGACATTGAACATGGCATGATTGTTGGTGCCAGATTGGCTGATCTACTGGGACGTTCAAAACCGTTTCTAGGGTTTACAGAGAATGGTGCGAAACAGTAGTAATGGTCTGTTCATCAGTAAGCAATAGATACTGTTACAACTGAAACCAGTGGCCTGCTCAGATTCTGATCATTATATTGTTTAACCAAACTTTTTTTAACCAACTAGATTGGGTGCAAAAACAACCAATCTATTCGTAGAATCCATCCAAACTATCGAACTGACCTCATCTCTCCTATAAACTCCCACATCTCGATGTGAAACAGAGGCTGTTTAAATGCCTGTTGAAGTTTCGTGGGCAAGCTGAACCACTTCCTGAAGCGGTCACTTGGTATGGCGTGGTTGCGAGGCTTCGTACATCATTGATTTTGGCCCCTCCTCTAAATGAGGCAAACCTCAAAAGGCGCTTTGCGGAAATGCCCCCTCCACTACTCAACATGCCCCAAAGCCTTGGCTCATCTCATCACTACAAAACAAAAATATTCAGTGAGCGTCTGTTCTGTGGATACAAATGCCTTGTTCATGCCAGAGGTCAAGAGAATGGCCAGGTTGGTAGAAAGGAAACAATAACTCTGCCACTCGCTACAACCAAGGTATTCAGAAGAGCATCTCTGAATTTAAAACACATCAAACCTTGAGGATGGGCTACTGCAGCAGAAACTTCTAGATATTACCCTGCTCCGAGCAATCTGATGATTGTAGAGAACCTCTAAACCAGGGATGTCAAACTGCTTCCAGAAAGGGCCGTGTGGTTGCAGGTTTTCTTTCCAAAACAATGGGCCACCAGACTCCAGTCATCTCATCAAGTGAGTCCAGTCTTAACATGATGACTTGAATAGATGAATGGAGTCTGGTGTGCCATCGCTTGGTTGCAAAGAAAGCCTGCAGCCACACGGCCCTTTCTGAAAGCAGTTTGACACCTGTGCTCTAAACAAAGGATGGGATTCAGCCATGTGATTCAGGGGTGCTGGATCATAGGTACTGTCCCTGAGGGGCTAGAGTTGTTCATTTCTGCTGTATAGGATCCTCTACAAAGTTCCCAGTCTGATCTCTTCTGGAATTTCAGGTTTGTAGGAGAAAAATATTTTAGAGCTGGACACATGAACACACAAAAGATGAGCTCCAACACAAAGCTGTTTATTTCCTCAGGTTAGCAAACAATCCTTAAAAGCAGGAAACAACAAGCAATCAAACAAACTAAAACACATAACAAATTTGGAGTTTAAAGAAATTAATTTAAAAATAAGAATAAAAGCAGAAATGATGGCGGTGGGGGGTAGAGGGACAGACATCAGGGAGCTTTGCGTCTCCTGCTGGACAGAACGGGGAACTCATCAGGTATCAGTGCGTGGTTCCTGCAGGTGGGACAGGTGTTCTTCTCCTTCAGCCATGATCTGATGCACTGAAAGCAAACAGAACCAGACCTTAGAACCAGAAAGCTCTGCGGCGTAGATGTGTCTTCAGAGCGGCTCTCACCTCATCGTGGAACGTGTGTCTGCACTCCAGCACGCACGAGTCCTCCTGACTCATGTCTTCGTGGCAGATGATGCACGGGTCCTCCATGTTGAGCTGCAATCAAAGCTCAAAGTCAGACAGTTCTCACCCTGGAAGGCCATCAATGAATACATAGAACACCCGATTAAGAATATTAGTTGGCTGAAGCAGGAGCATTGGTTTTAAGAGAAGAAAAAAAGTTATAAATTAGACAAAGTTAATTCTGGCTGGAAAAGCTTTTCAGGTAATTGTTTTTGTGGTAAATTTCCTTATAATCATGCTTATTTTAAATTCTATTAAGGTCTGATAGCAAATAAATGTTTTTAAAATTCCCCACTGTTGTTATCCAGCTTTAATAGTGAATCGAGATATTTTGAGGCCTATGGCAGGAATTATGCTGACATGTCCCATCTGTGATGTTGGAATGCCGGCTGCAGACCCAAATATTTTGGAATGATTCATTCCTGAAACACTTCATATACGATTCCATCCAAAGCAGAACCGCTTCCACTGCTCTGATGATGGTAAATATTTTAGAGAAGGAAAATTCTTGAATTTATATAAAATAAAACGGAGACCTGAATGAAATCAGACACTTTGGATCAGGAAGCATTTTATGAGTTAGGAGAACTTAATGGTTCAATTTAATCGACTGTCCTGGACTTACAGCGCTGGGGTTTTTGACTGCTTTGGCTCCGACCGACTGCCACGCTGTATGCTGGGTTAGGGCTGGACTGGATCGACCCATGATGTTGGTTCTGACAGATTTCAGTGTTTCCTGGAAAAAAAAAAAGTCTGCTTTTGTCTGCTTTTGATCAACTCCATTCTCTTAATTTAAAGAATTTTATCTACCTGATGATCGAGGATGATTTGTGTCACTCCGCTGACGACCTCCTGTAACGACACGCTGTTCAGGTTCCCGCCTCTAGACGAACGAAACTCCTGAATGAACCTCATCAGTTCAGACCTGAAGAAAAACAGGAAATCGAATCCATCCTTCAGACTAACAGGATCCTGCTGCACTGTTTAAAACACAGCCGTTTGCTGGACCAGCTCTTTACCTTGAAGAGTCTGGGAAAATGGCAGTCAAGTTCTCCATGGCTTTCTCAAACACAGGTCTGTGCAGCTTGTAAGGAGAAGTGGCCGACGCTTCGGCTGCAGAGCGAGGAGAAGCGCTGCGGGCGGCCTGAGCTGACATCAGAGGGTGAAACTCTTTGGCTGTTGCAGAGAGCTGCAACATCCACACAAAAAAAGAGAAACATCTCAGGTCTCTGCATTCTAGCAAATCATCTTAGAGATGCACAGATCAGGCTTTCAGTTAGTTAGAAATCTTAACGTGGTTTTAGTATAAGGACCTGATGGCTCAAGTTCTGCACTTGAAAAGTGTGCATGAGTACTCTGGATGAAAAGAAATAAATGTTCTAGTAACAGACTTGTTTTTTTTGAAAAAAAAAAAAGCCTGTTCTTAAGTGAATGCAACCAACATGTTGTACTGGTCTTACTGGTGATGTTACAGCCTGAGGTTTGTCTTTGGCCTGAGGCGGCTGACTGGCCGCTCTGTCTTTATTCAGCTCATCCTGCTGCTCCTGGAATCGTTGCTGTGGACAGAAATAGAACAGTTTCAGTCATGTTCCTATAAAAATATTAAAATGAATGCTTGCATATTTTTTCCCATTTGATTTATTCACACATGTTTAATTGAGAAGAATGTTAAATATTTCAAGTTTATTTTTTGTTCACAGTAAAGGTTAAACCCAATGGCACCTGAGCAGTGGAGATGTTCTTCTCCACTTCTTCCATCTTTGCTTTGCAGCTGTCCCTCATCATTTCCAGCTCCTGGCTCGAGTTTCTGGGAAAAAAATGAAAGAAAACTTCTTATTACCTTTTTGGTTTGGCAGGAAACAAAAATAGCAGAGATAATCAAATACATTTTTTATGGAGTTCCACATCTTTTGACCAGCCTCTCACTGCCAACAAAGGCAACAGAAAACAGGTGCCAAAATGACCACAGATGGTGCTGTTGTTAAGTTCTGACTCTTCCTAAAGTATAATACAGTTTTCATTTGATGATCCCACAGGAATCTGGATTCAATGTCCCAATTGTATTCATGACAAATCAAACCAAGATCCAGCAACTATAAGGTAAAGGAACACTTAGAATAATAAACTTAGTTTGCAATATAAAGTTAAAATTCTCACACAAAATTGGAAAATTATTTAAAAATCACATTTAATTCAAAATTCTGCTAACAGTATACGCAGAAATTCTTAATTTTTATAAGTTTTAATAGCATGTGAGTGCGAGCTGCAAATTCTCGTTCTTTGCCATCTGTATGAAGAGAGATACCTTCATTCTTTAGTGCCATTTTAATTAATCCAAAAAAACAAAAAACAGAAAAGGTCCACAGAAATGTGCATTGAGGGATTTTAACATTTAAAACAAGTGCTTTTCTCAAGACCCTATTCTTTAAAGACATTCTAAAACTGCATTATCCATAAATTAAAATGCTAAAGCTTTCGCTTTAGGTCAATTGTGCTGAACAAGCTAGCATTGTAACCAGAAGTTCTTAAATCTCTCATACTGTGAACTGCAGGTGATTGGCTGCTCTGTGGAGCCTTGTTAGTTCAGTATGAATCCTCTTTCCTGGCCAATAGTATATTCCCACCGAGCAGCGCAGTGAGACACAGCGCACACGGTTGTAAAGTTTTGCTTCGAGCGACTTGAGTATAGAGGCCAGTTTAGTTGCAGAATATAAGGTCTATGGTTGGAGTGTAGACTGAATCAGTCATGCTTTCTACCTTTAAGTTTGAACACTCACTTTTGCACACTGACTGCTGTCTAAGGTCCTTCCCACACATAAAAATGACACAACATAGGCCAAGTTATTTTAAATTAAAACCACAGCTGGGCAGTCATTAAAAAGAAATTAGATCACGTTTATTATGTGCTTAATACTATATAATGGCCTTAACTTTTGCTGATTCATTTAATACCTACTAGAACCCTGTGGAGGCACGGAATAATAAACCTTTTAACCCTTCGAATACACCTCCCCTCTCAGCTTCCGTTAATCTTTGTAATCATTGTTTCAATTCTTCACTAATAAAAGGGCCTCATCACTTTGCTGGATTTGGATCTCCTGGAAATGCCTCTATATAAAGCCAGTTTCAGCTAGTCTCCTTGTCTCAGCTGTCGATTGTAATTAAAACTGCGTCCGATAAATTGTCCATTGGACCGTCTCCCTGCTAAGTTAAGGTTACGTTCATACTGCAGCCTGAAGTGACCCAAATCCAATTTTTTTGCCCATATACGACCTGGATCTGATCTTTTCATGGCAGTCTGAACAACACAGATCCCATTTTTTCCAATCCGACCCAGGCCACTTGGCTATGTGGTCCTGAATCCGATACGAATCTGATCTTTTTCAAATGTGACCTGCGTCTGAACAGCCAGGTCAGATTAATCTGACCTGTAGCCATTAATACCCGATCACTATTGACTATAAGGTCACTATTATGCGTCTTGCTACGCAGAGGCGGCAAGAAAAGCAACAACCATGGCAAATGACGATGCAGAGAGCAGTATTTATGTTTAAACATATTGAAAAAATTGTGTTTTTATGTTTGGAAAAGACCGTTAGATGCCCGCCGGCACTACCATCCATGTTTACTTCTGAAAAAAAAAAAAGAACATGTGACGTTATTGCGTCCTCTACTGCGCATGCGGGACACTTGCGTTGTATGACTGCAGTTCACACAGGAGATCACATACAAGTCGCATATATATGTAAATACGACCGGGAATGAAAAAAATTGGAATTGAGCATCAAGGCCTGCAGTGTGAACACAGCCAAAGACGACTTCTTCACAACTGGTCCATGTAGTCTTTCCTACCAAATAAACACTTGTTTTCTGGCTGGACGCGTCCCAGCTGTACTCAAACATGCCGTGCTACACCTAACTTATTAGAATCAGAGAACCAGCATTTGCCGTTTTTGGACCCAATATGTGCCAAAGGTTTGGATAATTTTAAATCACTCTTTAATGCTCATTATATTTATTTCCATTTTAATAAGGTCTGAGTCTGTAAACTACCCATCTTGTTTTTTTCTTATCCCAAATGTACTGAATGCACATTTGAATTTATTAAAACTGTACAGCACTATGGTGCAGTTACCAGCTTTTTAAAAAGTCCTACATCTATAAAATTGACATTGAATAATGATCTATGACTCTTATGACCTAATATTTAGATTGAGGAACTTTAGGCTTATTAACATTATCACTATTGGGCTTCTGATGCAACAAATGCAAAGAAAAACACTTGCAGCTTTTCTCCATGTTACCGTAGCTAAATTTTCCCCTGCTGCAGGGAGATTGTTAGCACAGCTTAAAGCCCTCTGAGGCCTAAAGCTGCTGTCTGTCAGCCTCCCACCCCGACCTGTGATCTCCCCCTTCTCACCTGTGCGCTGCCTCGTCCAGTTTGTTCAGCAGAGCTTTGGCGTCGGCCAGCTCTCTGTAGAGGCCGTATAAACCCTGATCCCTGCTACTTTCAATTACCGACAGCTGGACAGAACCAAAAAAGCAGATGTATGATTAGTTAAACATGTAGATGGGTCAATGTTTCAACCCTATTCTGCACCTTCTTTAAATTACCCCCTCCCCACTGGAAGGAGTTAGGTCTTGTCAGGTTACCTTAGCAATATGGGACCTTCTAGTAGAAGAGGCTAGCAAAGCCTTGCAGCGCTTTATCTCATCCTCCAAACTCATCTTCTCAGCTGCTGACTGATTGCTGAGGGAAGCAAAGGCAATAAGTGAGAAATTCAGCCAAGATTTCAAGAAACCCTGAGTTTCTGCTGCAGCTCACCTCAGCTCCAAGAAGTCATTGAGTTTGGCTTCATAGCTGCTCCTCTTCTCTCTGATGTTCCTGGAGAGGCTGCATGTGGAGGAAAATGTCAAACTAAACAATCAAACTGAAAAACACCAAGCATGAACCAGGCTTAAAGGCTACTACATTCAATTTAACTTGACTTTAATAAGTCTGGGCAATATCTAAGAGCTTCAGAGGTTGACATTTTGGAACCCTGCTTACCTGCCCTGTTCCTCCACCAGCTGCTCCAGCTCCATCTTCAGGGACTTCAGCTCCTCCTGGTTGGCCTTCTTCTCCTTCTGGTCCTTCTTCACCTCCTCCTCCAGCTTTTGTTGAAACATTACCAGCTCCTTATTGGTCACCTAAAACCGAAACCAAAACTTAATTCACTCAGAAATGGTCAATCTCTTGCAGTTACACTGTGAACGCTCAGAGCAACCTGTATTGCAAAAAACAACAATCCACTGGACTTTGATTCCAAGCTTAAAGATGTTTCACCTCCCATCAAGGAAGCTTTTTCCAATTCAAAATGTCAGAATCAGCGTTGAGCTCGAAGCCTTATGTTCGAAGGTGCCCAGGCCAATAATTGCCCCTAACGACCCCCCTTTCTGAGGTATAGACCTGTATTGGGCATTTCAGGCTAACAAAGAACCCAAACCACTGCCCATTACTAAGGGGCGAACCCGTTCTTGTTCAATTTGAATGTTTTCTGAGCCAAAACAAGTTTCTGGTCCACTCAAAGCCTCAAACTCAACTCTAATTCTGACATTTTGTATTGAAAAAGCTTCCTGGATGGGAAGAGAAATGTCTTCAAACTTGGAAACAAAGTCCAATTTTTATTTTATTTTTTACTTTTTTTGGAATGACTGTGACCTGGATGACTGAGAATCTTCACTGACCTACCTGTATATTTAGAGTGTTGTCATTTATTCGTTTTTCCAATAAAATGATTTCTCTATTGTTACTTGGATCAGGTTTTTCACAGTTTTCAGTTATCTTTATTTGCTCCTCCAGCGCCTTGTTGTTCTTCTCCTGCTTGATGAGATCACCCTGAAAACAAAAAAAAAGATAAATGAAGCTCAAAGAGAAGCTCTTTTTTTTTTAAACCACAGCACATCCTGTGCCAAGCCAACCTTTCTACAAATCAAGATCCTACATCACATCCACTGCTCCAAACCATTACTGGCTGAAATAAATTCTAACAGAGATGCAAGCCGCAACAGGTGTCAAAACCCTCCTGCAGATTTAACACACGTTTCAGTCATGTCCATCCCTAGCATTATATTGGTCTACACTCTTTAAAACCTTGTCAGAAGCATTGAACCCATACTTGGCACCACAGATAGAAGAAATGCAACATTAAGGAAAAGCTATAAAAACATAATTGCTTTTATAGCACTGCTTGCACGTAGAAGAATATTACTGCACTGAAAAACAAAAAATCCACCAAAAGTGTCTTTGTGGTTTAGCAATATAATCCATACAATTAGAGAAAATTAAATATACTCTCAGGGGGTCCAGGGACAAATTCTTCTGTCTGGAATGCAATGTTGAGGCATTTAGGTAAACTTAAAACGGTTCCCACTTAAAGGAAAATTCTGGTTTTTAACACTTTTAGCCCATTTTCTGTAGTGTCCAGGATGAAATCGAATGATCGACACCAAAATTTTGAC